TTGCCAAGTTGCAAAATCCCCTAAAATCGCACTGTTTGCAGAAATTTCATTATTTCATTGCTCATAAAAGGAAACTCTTAATCAATCTCATGTCTATATTAAAATCTCTCAAAGGCATGTGTCAGTTCAAAATCATATGGTCCTGATTCACGTGGTGTCTTTCATCACTCTGGTTTGTAAATGGGAAGTTTTAGGGTCATAGTTTGTATTTCTATAAATTCAAACAGAAGCTTGACTCATATTCTGTGAGAAGCTGAACCTTGTTCCTTTGTTGCCAGATATATAAATAAATAACACAGAAATCTAATAAGTGTGGCTTTAAGACAGACGAAACTGCATACTGTAACTCCCAGTCATCATCAGCCCACTGTGATTCAGCAGGAAAGACTGCAGTATTGTTTCTCGACCTCTGCATCTCTCTATTAGCCACCCATTCTGCTGTCTATTGAGAATGCAAAGTATTGGATTCACAGATCTATGCTATGAATTGTTATGGTAGCTAGTCAATAGCACAAATGACCCATGAGACTCTTGTCTCCTCCACATTAAAGAGTACTGTTCTTTCTGCTCAATTCCTGAACTTCGGTTAGTCGCTGCACTCGTCTATCTTATCGTGCTTCCCTCCTTGTAGCCAGTTACTTGCAAAATGCTGGGGGAAGATAACGTTGTCTGAAAGTTCAAAAGTTTAGGACTGTGCCTCTGTGGTTTTGAGAGAGTTGGCAGTTGGGATGAAAAACCACATACATTACATGTCTTATCAGTGTGTCTCCAGCTTCCTTCAGCTGCCAACAGTAATCAATTATTCAATAAATGTATACCTACCTTTTTATGTGTGTCTAAAATCTGTTTATTAATATTTTCCAGCATTTTCCAAAAAATAAAAAAATAAACTAAAGAGAAAAACATATGAATACAGCAATACAATCTGATCAAGCCAGTAATAATGAACAATGGTGTGGGCAGTGCAGAAGAGATAAAGCCACCAACTTAAACAATATCAGCCATTTGGAGGGAAGGGTACCAAGGCTACAAAAGCCACCAACAGGGAAGAAGAAAGAGGCTGGAATTACACCAAATAATGCAATTATACAGTTAAAGTTAATCAATTTTCCTGACCTTTGATAATGATCAATACATTTCCTCCCAGTAGGGTTGGGAAGTGTGACAAGACCAAAGCATGTGTACACTGGTGACATCTGTCACATGTTGGGTCCACATTAATAGATTATAGAGAGCCTAACCTTTGTGACGTGAGAGCAGTATCTGTATGATGCTATCGCACAGATGAAGAACTTACGTGTATGTATTACTTAATGCAGCTTCCCGGAGTTCCTGAGACATTTCTTCTCTCAGATCCACCTCCCTAAACTGATTTGATGGAATTTAAGGAGTCTAAGTGCAGGGAGTGAATTTGAACTTACGCACAGTACTGTGTAAAATTCTTGAGACACCTCTCAGCTCCTTATATTTTACTATTTGCACATGATTTACTGAAACAGGTGCAGACATACATGTAAATACAGCGTGTTAGGCAAAATTTGTACAGTTCTGAGGAGCTTGAAAGTAAATATTTGGAGTGACTGCCATTATTTTTTAATATGGTCTGAACTATCTTAGGCAAGCTTTCTCGTAAGAGAACTCTTTAGGAACGGTTCTTCAGCTTTCTTGAGGAAGGATCCTGTGTTAGATCTTTGCTGGTCTTATTCCTAGTTCTATTAATAAGACTATAAATTTGTGGGCACCAAAAAAGGGTTTTTATAGATAGATTAAACTTTTCCGTTATCTGCTGTAAAGATACAAAGGTGTTGTTAATCTATGGGTCTTTAAATGATTCTAGCAGAGGTGTTGGACTATGAATTATGAGCATTTGGGTTGTCTTTAAAGCTGTTTGGAGAGCTAAACAACACCTAAACTGGTTCCAAATGGAACAATGGAACGGTCTGACTATAACATTTTTGACTGAGCCTATATTGAAAGACAAAGTTTACAGCCCCAAAATGGAGTTTCCAAATAACCTCTTGGGTAAACTCATTGTTTAGGCACAGATCCAAAAGCCGCAGGAAGAGCTGGTTCCCATGAATGTTTAGCTGTCAGTTCAAACTCGCTCTCCAGCAGTTTGAGATGAATGAAAATGAAGTGAGAAATTTGTTATTTCTAACAGCATAGCTGCATCAGCAAAAAACACAACCTCCTAACAACATTAGCTTTAAATTCTCCAATAGTTATGACTCTGAAATATCTATAGTTGACAGTTTTTTCAACTTAAAAATACATTGTCTTTTTAGGCCCATTCCACTTTTGACAACAAAGGTAGCATGCATTTTCCCACTTATCATATATGATGATTTTGAATAGTTTTCCTTTGTTTTTTAATGCAAGGGGAACCGTGGCAACTTACCAAAGAGAGAGATGTGTTTTAAAATGTTTGGCTATGTGTCAAGGTGTACAACAAAGACCTGTTAGACTAGATAAAACAGAATGTTTATCATCACTGCACAGCAAGAAGGCTCTGGGTTCAGGTCCACCAGCCAGCTGAGGCCTTTCTGTGTGGCGTTTGCATGTTCTCTTCATGTCTATATAGGTTCTCTTTGGGTACTCTGGCTTCCTTTCACACTCCACAGATATGCATGTTAAGTTAATTGGTGACTCTAAATTGGCCGTGAAGGTGAATGGTTGTCTGTCTCTCTGTGTTAGCCTTGTGATAGACCGGTGACCTGAACGGGGTGGGATAGGCTCCAGCCCAAACATGACCCTGAATTAGATAAGCAGAAGAAAATGGATGGATGTTAGTAATAATGTTTATAAGGCACCTATGGCATGTTTATGACCTAATGTGGTATTAATTAGCTATTTTTTACTTTACATATAACATAATATCAAAAAATAGCTCCTAGTGGCGTCAACTACTTGTCTTCTTCAGCGATGCTTTCTCAGTCCAGGTCTGTAATTACAGTGGAGTAAAACACGCTCAGTGACTGTCTCAAGTGTTCTATGATCAGCTCTTTAGCATGGTATGACGGTATGTAAGAAACATATAATAACATGGGGCATAGGGCATCTATAACAAGAACTGCTGTTAAAAATAAACTGCCAATATGTTTGGACTGCAGGAAGAATTCCAGAGTACATTCCCCAAATGTGGTATGTGGGGGTGGTAGATCAGGTCAAATGGAAAGACCTATTTGTGTCCCACACAGACAGGGATCCATAACCTCAAAGTCAGCGTAAGAGTGAATGTACATTCCACTTTTTGCCACTATTATGTATTTCTGAAGTATAAAGCAAGAGTAGTAAGGACAGAATCCAGGAGAGGAGGAGGTGGTGCTCATTTTTTGCTATCTGTCAATATAAATTTAATGGCAAGGTGGTGAAACAGGGAGTCTTTTGATGTGCACTAGACAACAAGTTCCTTTCTTTTGCACTACGGTGCCTTAGGAGATGGCCCACAGGCAGGCTTGCACACACCCATTAAACACACATACATGTATGAAACCACATCAGAGATCTTTTTGCTATTGAATTGCTCCTGAGCATTGTCCTGTTTGCACTAAAGGGAAAGCAACTCATCGCCCTGAGAGTGATTACACCCAATCAAAGTGCAAGTTACGCACACATACAGTAGGTGGCTGAGCTTTATAATCACTCCGCCCTCCCAGTCAGGAATCTTTATGGTGAAATTGCTCTCCACTTAAAAAAACAGATGTTTTCGTGCTTTTTTCTTTAATGGTGTAGCCACTAAAAAGATTTTATAGACCCAGTTAGATCTGAGATAGACTTTTTAACTTTACGGCTTAGCCTTCACATTGATTCTGTTTCATCCCAGTATGCAAATCCAGTTAGCGTCTGGCTCCAGATTCCACTTACTTTGTCTGCAGGCACTCGTTTAAAATGAGACATATTTTGATTTCGAGGCATATCTGCTTTATAGACAAGTGTAATACGATGATGAGGATGCAAAGACAGTTGGCGTGCTCAGGTGGTTTGGTGGTATGTTTTCTACAGTAGGTGACTACTATACAAACAATGGTTAAACTCTTACACTACTGGTAATTCAAGCGACATTTATATTCCTCAGTAGGGCCAAAGGTTATACAGGAAGTGGAGTAGCACAAAGGGTTGAGTCAGGGACTGTGATAGTAGTGTTTACAGTGCATGCATTTGTATCTGTGTGTCCAAAGTTTGCTTAGGCTCAGAAAGCTATTCGCTATACCAACAAAATGAAATGAAACTGATACTCGATACAAATGGCAGCGTCTTTGCACAGGAGCAGGCCGACACTGGCACAAGAGGGACAGCGAACACGGGTGACAGAAAGAGACTGATGAGAAGTTATGAGGCTCAGGTCCTACGGGAGAGCTAACCAAACTACAGGTGTATGTTTACAGTCTAAGTGCCAGACTTACTTAAGTAAGTGTTTCGTACATGCCACGTCCAAGATAACAGTTAGGTCACTCACTGTGTTGTGCAAATAACTCTCTGCTTTTTGTTTGGGGTTTGTCGTCACGTGCTACTAATGCCCTTGTTTGTGCTTCACTGGCTCAAGGTTTGTCGCTAAGGTAGTGTTTAGATACATAAAGATACCTTGCTCCAGTTGGTAGTGTATAAGTACCTCTTTTTTTCTCAGGTGCTATCACAGTCACAAACAAAATCAGCATAATCTATTCATAGTTAAAACAGGGCTCCTTTAAGATGACCAGTTAATATACAACATAAAGAATCTCTATGTCAGTGTGAAACAGTAAATAGTTCTGTTAAAGGTTTTAAAATATAGGTTGCAAGTGTGAACACAAGTTTCTGCCATTTAGTACATTAGTAGCATAACATATGTGTAATTGTATTACTGTAGATATCAAGTTTTTGCCTTTGCATATGATTCTTTTTCTTATTTCTTTTTATAAACTGCTGCATATCTGCTTTTAAAGTCATCGTGTTTACATTTAGGTCATCCACACCTTCATTTAAACCACTCCAAACCTACAGAAACAATAACTCCATTGGTCTTCCAATGGTCCTCCTTTTAAGACTTGGTTTTAGGTGTAGCCCACCAGACGGGGCATGCTAGGAAAGCTCTTGCGCATGCTCATGCACTTCTCCTGGTCCAGGAAAAGTGAATTGGCTTTGACAGATAGGTCATGTTCCAGGGATACTTTGGTCTTCACCAAAGTCTGCAGAGTGTTCTCGGCCTCCATCAGCCTCTCTTGAAGTTTCCGAATAGTGTCCTCGATCTCTCTCACCTCACTCACAAGTCTGAATAATTAGAGAGAGAAAGACTGCTTACTGTCAAATCTGCAGCATAGGGAAAGAAGTTAAGGAAACTTTCCAAAGTATGACATTGTGAGATTTGCAATTAAAGGTAATAATTTATATTATTGTTCATTTAAACCACAGAGAGGCCAAACCCCTCTAAAATGTATCAAATGACAAAGTTAAAAAAACATTTTTGGCAGTAATTCACTGGTATTACACTTTGTCACTCAATGAGGTTGATTAACTAAAAGTGACGTTAAAAATTAAGTTAAAAGTACAAATAGCAGCCGGTTAAAATCAGGGAAATCAGTGCATTCTTTGTCAATGATTTGATTCTTGATTGAGAAATAGTATATTTGCATAATTTTCTTCACTCCTTGAAGTAATTTGTAACATACAAAAGGCACACACTACATTGCAAAATAGCCTGAGATGCGTTACCACATAATTACTAGTTATATCAACCGCCAGAACGCAGTTTTCCTTCTTAGGTGTGTTTCTGGCTCAGGAGGTAAGGCAGGTCACCTACGTCCATTGGAGTATGAATGTGTGTGATTCTTAGGCTACGTTCACACTGCAGGTCTTAATGCTCAATTCCGATTTTTTGATCAAATCCAATTTTTTTTGTCTGCTTGTTCACACTACAAATAAAATGTGACAGCAAACGCGCTCTAGTGTGAACCCTCAAAGTGGCCTGCATGTGCAAAAGACGACGTCATACACAACGCGCTCTGTTTAGACCCAGACCAAACAGTATTGTTTGACTGATGGCCCTTAATATAAAGACTTGTTTCGGACTTTAGGTTTCCCAATTTTGCTTTAAGTTATAAAGTTATTTTGTTATTTACATATGGCCTAATAATTATCGTTATTGGTGTTTTAGAGAGGAGCGGTGCTTTAAAGGATAGTTGCAGATTTCTGTAAGAATCTGCAGATTATACAGTACAAATAAAATATTCACGTTTCTCCAACGTTGTCTTCCCAACAGTTTCACTGACATCTACACTGGATGGCCAGGAAGCGTTCACAATGTCTTCTCCGGCGCTAATAATTGGCGCCTGTCTTGTGTCAGTGACGTAAAAGACGGATTTAATGCGACATGACCATTCAAACAGCAGTCGCTTTCTAAAACATCAGATATGTATCGGATTCAGTACCACATACGAAAGTGACCCAGGTCGGATTTGAAAATATCGGATTTGTGCCGTTCACACTGTCATAAATAGGGTCAAAAAAGTCGGATTTGATGTGCTTTTGCCTGCAGTGTGAACGTAGCCTTAGACAGACAGTGCTTACATAGAAAAAAGTGCTTGTATAAATCGGAGTGAATGGGTGAATGCGGCAACGTGTATAAAGCGTTCTGAGTACTCAGAGTAGAAAAACGTCATATGGGAACCCATCCATTTACCATTCCTGACTCCTAAAACCAGACAGCTTTTTGTCCTTCACCATGACCAGCTGGTGTCTGCTGATTGTAGCACAAATGTAGAAGGTTTGGTGATTTTCTTTCTCTATTCACCCTTAGTGCAAGTAACTGAAACTCAAAACCTTTTTGTCTGGAGGAACAATCTAATAACATCTGAAATCACATCTGATTTGGAAATGTGGAACAAACTACCTGTGGTGTGGATTGTCCCTGCAGAGCTCTATGTTGGGTCTACGGACCCTCTCCTCCAGCCTCGTTTGGGCCACTTTTAATGGGGACTCTTTATCTCTGAGAGCCTTCTTTATTGACTCAATTAGCATCTCAGTCTGAAAGATCTCTTGTAGAGTCTGCATGAAAAGACAAAAGACAACAAATTGTGATGCAGCCGCTGAGAGTTCCAGTCATGTAAGCATAGCTGAGTTAGGCATGGAAATTAAGGGAAAGGCTGACCCGAAGCCAAAAGAGGGGAAAATGTGAGAATCTCAATAAAAAGGATCATGTACAAAGCTGCAGACTTTGAGTCAGCTGAACACAGGCACACACATGCACAGTGGCCTGCTCTGTCTAACCCCATCTGAAATAATTTCATTTCAGCCAATCGCTACTTCTTACAGCTAACAGTGAGTGAGGTTTATTGAAGACCTTGTGCTTCATATCACTCCTGTCAGTGTTCGAACTATCCAGCAGCTCTCGATGGCAACCTGAAATCAATGGGATAAAGTGCAGAATGTGACACAAGCAATGAACAAACTACTACAGCTCCTCTCCTTTGACAGGGATGTTTTGCAAATATAATCCATATAATCCACCATAGAGGGCAAATCTGCACAGCTGATGGAGATAGAGAGTTTTAGAAAGAAGCGGGGAAAAGGATTGTACAGACACATGATCTCTTCCAAATAAGTGGCAAATGTAGTTAAATACTCAATAAGAAAAAAGGAATGGATTTTTTTCTTTTTTTTCCTAAAATAAAACCATGTGATTGCCTCTGAAACCACTTTTCTTAATAATCTATTTCACATTTTATTTCACATTGTGAAATAATCAAGAACAAAGTCCAACATAAGAATAAAATTAGGAACAGGCTGTAATTCATTACACTACGATTAAAATACAATGATAAAAAAATGTCCCCGTTACATAACCTTATCAAGATATTATTGTCTTTTATGAAATAAACCATGCAGAAAAGGTGATGACCTTAGCCAGGTGTGTTTGCAAGCTGTTCTTGGCATCACCGGTTTCTGATATGCGGTTGGTGAAGGCTACGTTGACATTGTTGAACTGGTTCCACATTTCATTGGAAGTGGCGTTCAGCAGGATTTCTATCTCATCCCTGAGCTTGTGGGAGGCAGCTCGCTCGCTTTGGGAATGCAGGATGTTGTCATCTGTAAACTTGGACCACGAGTCAGGCAGAGAGATTCTGACAGAGAAACAGTTAGATGCATTTACAGTATGTTCCAACACTCCCACTGGTTTTGAACATGATGCATTTGGAAAAGAGTTTTTCAGATATCACAAAACTTTTTAGCTATTTTAGCCAAATTTCATTGTTATTGTTCTTAAACTTTTGAGAGGCAGGGGCTTGTTAGCAAACGAAAACCTTCAAGGGCCCATCATAATAAACCAGATTATATAGTAAGTCTATTACAAAGAATTACTATGATTAGTAAACTTTCAGGTACCATTCTTAGTGAAAAACTTTTCAACCTAAATGCTTAAAATGCATGAAAACTGGTACAAAAATGAAGTGAGCTAGTATAAAGAACACAATATGATTGTTTGGGTTTTTTGTAGTATAACTGTACGTTAGACATTAGATTTACCCTGAAGTCTTAGGTACATGCATTCATGTCCCTGTTAGGTTGCAATAGTTGTGGTTACTTAAATGTTTATTGGGAATGACAATTATGGAAAATTGTATAAAGTTTTTGTTTGTTTGTTTTAGCAATTGCTAGTATTCAAACGGGAGATGGTGAACATGGTAAAGCTGACACTTATAGTCATCATTTACACTCACTGGCCACTTTACTAGGTGCTGCTCAATTGCTGATTACAACAACTAATCAGCCAATCACATGGTGGGAACTCAGTACATTTAGGAATGTAGACATTTTCAAGATGATCTGCTAAAGTTTAAACTGAGCATCAAAATGGAAAACAAAGGTGATTTAAGTGACTTTGAACATGGCGTGGTTGTTGGTGCCAGATGGGCTGATCTACTCGGATGTTTCCGCACAACCAACTCTAGAAATTCCAGAGAATTTCATGAGAAAGAGAAAATATCCAGCGAGCGGCAGTTTTGTAGATGAAAATGCCTTGTTAGTGTCAGTGGTCCACGAATAATGGCCAGACTGCATCAAGTTGATAGGAAGTTCATTCAAATAATAAGGCATTATAACCACAGTGTGCAGAAGAGCATCTCTGAATACTTGACATGTGGAACCTTGATGCAGATGGGCCACAGCAGCAAAAGACCACACTGGGTGCCATCCTGTTAGCTAATACCAGGAACCTGAGGCTACCATTCTCAGAGTCTCACCGAAAGTGGGCAATAGAAGACTGGAAAACTGGCTTCTCCTGCATGATGGTACGGTGAGAATTTAAAACATATAAAAAAATATAAATGAAAATATGAAAGCATTTATCCTTTCTACCTTATATCAACAGTTTGATGGTGATGGTGTTTTGGTTTCTTGCCACACTTTGAGGCCCTTTAATACCAACTGAGTTAAACACCACCGCCTACCTGAGCATTGTTGCTGGCCGTGTCCACAGAGTGTCAGTCTATACTGCCAGCAGTATAACACATGTCACAAAACTCCAATCACCTCAGCCTAGTTTCTTGAACACAACAATGGCCTCCAGACTCACCAGATGTCAATCCAATATGATCTCAGTGTGTTGGAAGCACCACGTTGAATCAATAGCACTACAAATTAAGGTAGTTTGGAAGGCAAAAGCAAGGTGCACCATATAAAGTAACCAGTGAGTGTAGCCCTGGTGTGCGTAAGTGCAGCTTCACTATGTTCCTGGCATTACTATTAACTTTTAATCGCCTGATAAAATATTTACATCTCACTTGCAACAAATCACCAATATACAGTAATGCTTCAAGACTGCTTAACATTTTTATATATTTATCTGGACACAACAATTTATCATTTCATGCAAGCGTAAACAAATTCTGGACAGCAATATCAAGTATTTCATCGAATATAATTGAATCGTTCAGATATTCAAATATATAATTATACTCACGAAGGGTCTAGTCTGTCAATTCCTCTGTAATAGCCAATACCATCCGATGTGTTCCTTAAATGGTGACACCTTTGATCTATCCTCTGCGCTGTCAGTTTGTCACTCAGATCTCGTTCCAACTCATGTTGAGCTGCACGGTTTGACCTAATGAATCACATAATGTAAAACAGAAATGAAAACTTTTAGAAATTGAGCACATGTCAAACTGCACAGTCTTAGTCAGATTGTCAGACTTACGCCAGCTGAGCAATGGCTCTGTCCAGATGTCGCCTCATCCTTTCCTGACATGACTTTATAACTTCTACCTCCTTTTTTAGCACAGGTAGAAAGAATATAACAACTTTCTTATTTCTGCAGTAATATTGGTCTCATGAGTCCCAAATATATATATATATATATATATAACCACACTGATCTTTCATTTTACCTTTATGAGGTCTTTCTCTACGTCATCGTGTACCAGGTCAATGGACATCCGCCGCTCTCTGTGGTACAGACACTCTTGAGACACCTGTTAGCAAAATTTTATTTTGACTTAAGCAAGCTGCAATGGTAAATCCATAAAGAACATTTTCTTTATTTAACATTGATTGTGACACTCCAAAAGATGGGGATATAATATGATTGTAAAGAAAAACACAATTTATATCAATATCAAGGTGTGCATATACTAAGTTCTGCAACATGTTTGGATCATACTCCAATTTCAGTCACCTGGAGAAGTCTCTAAGAAAGTCTCATGCCACATGATATTGGTCTAGAAAGGTGTCCCTGTCATCAGATATAAAGCCAGATCAAGTTAACTCTCTCAGGTGGACTATGGTCATTCGAACAGGGCACTAGGATGACCTATTTATGGGACTGACCCAGTGAAAGCACCGTCATTTTGAAGGGTTGCAAAGGATCATGCAAAAACTGTCTCTACAACCAAACAGACGACTGCTTTAAAACTGGCATAATATGGATGATTGATAATATGCGTGCACTCAGTCTTGGTATGACCAGTGTTATGTCATGTTTTCTCTCAAACAAATAAAAAATATCAAGCTAAATGTTCAAATAATATCACTCAAAATTAGTGTGCATCCGTGAAAAAAAAAATTCAAAGTAGCTCATTGAAACATATTCCTTCCAGCCTCACCTGAAGGGGCCCTTCAGTCTCTGCCAAGGCTCTCTCTAGCCTCCTTTTGACCTCATTAAGAGCTGCTATCTCTGTCACCATGTTGTCGATCTCATGGCTCAGCTCAGACTTCCAAAAGACAATGTCATTAAGCCTTTCTCCTATGTTCTTGCTGGTATTCTCCTGGGTTCGTCTGGTAAGTTGCTCTTTATCCTGCATCAGCCTGATGGTGTCTCTTCTTAGTCTCTCTGCGCTTTTCCGGGAAGACTCGGATTCCCTGTAGTTGTTGTGGTTGGACTTGTACCAGTCATCTGGAGTGTAGCGGGTGGTCAGCGCGCTCCTGTTGGATGGGTACAACACCGTCTTGGCACGAACCAAATCTAAATTCTCTCGTTGTATGGAAGGGGATGGGATAGTGCTGTTGCTCTTGTAATAGCTGTTTGTCCTCCACAGACTGGCATTGGGATTCATGACCAGGGCTGCCTGGGGGTTTCGATAGCTGGATGCCATAGTGGAGATGGCAGGGAGAAAGTGGCTGCTTTTTGGCCGAGCATACGTTGCTGTCAGAGTGGATCCAATCAACTCCATTTTTCGAAGCCTGCAAGGGTTCAAAGTGGTACTACTGGTCCTGAGTCAAAGTAAAGAAAAAAGTTCTCAAACTGATTTGAATATTTTACATATTCATATTAGCTACCTGGATCAGACATTTAAAGCAGTTTACAAACTCTGTAGGTTGGTTAAGTATACAAAGAAAACATGTTTAGATGGCTCATTAGAGTAAGAAGGTGGAAAATAAAATCAGAACTAAGGTGAAGCATCAAAGTAGACAAAGAACTGCCTTACCAAGATGGACGCTTGTCAGTTGCTCGACAGTGTCTTGTGACCAGCTGCCTCTCAGCTCTGTTTACCTGAGAATGAGCTCAAGAACGCACTAAAGGTAAACTGGCATGCATAATAGAAAAGTTAGCAAGTCATTCATTCAGCCAACCAATGGTGTTGCACAGTCCTGGACAGCAGCAGCTGGCCTTGTTCAAGATTTCTGTTGACACAGAAGCAGTTGCCATGGGTTACTGCAACACTGTGCCAAGGATTTTCAGATTAATAGTGACCAGGTGCTTTTCTTTGGACTAGTAAATGCACCAGTGTTACAAAATGTGTCCACAGGACAGATGTAACTTTGGTGTTTGTAATGTTTCTTCTTATTAGATTTCTTTATAAAATCCTACTGACCTCCTGTGACTTTACAAAGTTCCAGTCCACTTTTCAACCAATACAGGCACAGCTTATCAGGAACACAGTTAAAGTGGAAAAGTAAAATGCAGTGAAAACAACACAGCAAATAGATGCCTATATTATAAACCCTCAGCACCATGAACTGTGATTTTTTTTTTAATTCACTGATAACTTACAGCTCTCCACATTCTGCCTATTCTCTTCTTTCTTCATTAAACAAGATAAACATTCAAAATACACCCCAATCAGTTTTTAAAGAATTTATTTACGGATGATCGATTACTTTCTGTAGCTTAATCAAGCCATTTGTCATTAAAATCCTCGATAGAAGGGAAGCAATCGGAGCTTTGTTTTTAAAGCAGTCAACTTCAGTTGGTCTCCATGCATGCACGCATTAGCTCACCGTCACCCTGAGAACCAAGCTGTCTGTATTGATTACAGTTACTTGTTTAATGATTCATGCCGCAGGAAGAGTCCACACAAACCCCTGTAGCACAGAATAATAATCTGTGTTGTGTTACCTACCATTGGAAATGAGGATCGTTTACATTAATCTGTTCTGAGGGGGTAGGGCTGGACAGATGATAGCCTGGTTTCCACAGGGACAAGGAAAGGTGTAACCAGGATTTATTTAGCTCTGTCTTAACAATAGAAGTGTGATCTGAACAAAATCTTTGAATGAGATTATTTTGGGGTCTTTCCAACCACCATATGTTATTTAATCTACTGCTAATTATTTAATGTTGTAATAATTTTAAAACTTTACTTGGCAGAGTTTATGGCGGGTAAAGAGAGCTTTCTCATCCTCCCTGGCTGTATGATAATACTTAACCAGCAACTTTCAGTGAGATCAGCTTTCCATCTTACTGACACTTACACACTCATAATGTAGGACTCAAGCACAGAATGTTTTCTAACTCCATGTTTGTAGAGAATAACATCTATATTGCTGTCCCTTTATGTATGAATGCTGTGTTAAATACTGTTGTAGCAGCAATCATTTAGTTAGCTTATCCTCATTACATGAAAGAAGTTAGTACCCTTACAATCTGGAAGTAAATTAGTGTAACTCCCCAAGTAGGGTCCAGTCTGAATTTGATCTATGTACTCAGGTATTTAAGGTGTACTGTACTGATAAGCTTAATTAATATTTGTTTTTTGGGAACAAATTTTTTTGACAGGTTTTTCTTTAAGTAAAAAAACAAACAAATCCATCAAACCCCACTTTAGAGATCACATAATGAAATCTCAAGCTCATTAATGAAGAATTTGTGATTGGCTTGCAGGTTTATATGTCCTGCCCTGGAACCTCCTCCAAGACCTGCCCACTTTATAACTGGAAAGGTCTTGGTGGCCACCACGTGCAGTTTTGCAGCCCGTGCTCAGCTACTATTGTCACAAACATACAGGTTTAGATTTAGAATGGAATGGCGCACCATTGCTCCACCCCTGCAGCCTGCGGCATCACTTAACATGGCTAGGTTGAAGAAGGCCATCCCACACGCTTCTACTGCCCTGACCTCATCCACTATAAATACACCCCAGAAAAGCATGAAAAGCGCGCCTGCGTTTGAAATTCCTCCCCTGGATAGAACTGCAAGTGTCCCCTGGAAAAGCGATTCCTAGTGAAGCTCCCCACTGGCCTCTGAACATGAAGGCAATGTAAGTGGGGCCTATATATACTCCTGCCATGTGGCCCATGAGAGTATGTTGTTAATTACTGCACAGTAGAAATGTCTGAGGGAGCAAGTGTGCTGTCTACTCCGCTTAGAGTACAGTGATACAGAACTGAAGGCTGTAATCTTCAGCGGTATAAAACCATTAATAAAACAGAGCTTCTAAATTGAGTCATAGTATGAAGTTTTAAGAAATAGTTTCCTTTTCTTATGTGGTATATAGTAGTAGCCATTTAGCAGTCAAGCTATATTGCTGTGGGGGAAAAAATGACAAGCAGGAAAATTATAGTGTCATAATTTTTTTAATTTATGTCCTGTGGTTTGGCAGAAGTGTCCAAGCCTTGAATTTTTCTCATTTTGGCTGCAATGAAAGTGGCAGTGAATTGTCAAATTGGACTGGACAGGTAGAAAAATACACTGAACCTGCAGTCAGCGTTCACTGCTTCACACATGTAGACATGTACTTTGATATTATTTCTTTTGCAACATTAATACTGGAAGTCATACAATGCTCCGGTGCTCCGAATTCAGAGATCGGTTTTAATAAGCTGTGCAGATACCAGTGTCCTCCTTCAAACACCCGACAACCAAAATAGCTGGAGATACAAAATAAGAACTTGATCCTTCTGCTTGAGTGTGGACAACCACAACCAACTGCACATCTGAGACATTTTGTAACTATGTCCTGCAAAGTTAGGATGCTGTAGCATTGTTATAATCTGTTCACAACCAGAGCGGATAATTGCGGCACTTTTTTAACTTTGCACAGAGAAATATCAAACAAACAAACTTGGTGATAGTTCTCTTATTTTCTTACTATATGTAGCAACACACCCCTTTCACCACACACAATCCCTTAAGGTCGTGTCCTTTCCTTTTCACCACTGACCTTCTCTTGATTGGGTAAAAATAGACGACGTGAGGAGGTCAGGTGTGTTTTCTAAACATTCCTAATTAGTAAAAAAAAAAACAAAAAAACAAAAAAACAGGTTCCCTGTTCCCTCCCTGGGCCCCTAGTGCTTTCACTTCTTCAAACCACACCTATTTTGATGTCAACCTGGCAATTGTCCAAGCCTCTGGTTGTACCACAGCTTCCTCTATTGGCAAGATTGATATGAGGTGCTTTCCTGTGCTTTGCTTACACTCCTGACTGCTGGGTCAAACAGATAAACTAGACTTGTAGCTGTCTTTATGCCCGACTATGCAGGCCATTATACTGGCATCAGTTTCCTCTCATGAATTCTAGATGGATCCTTCTACGAGGAGGGCGGCCACACCTGGAGAACAATACAGAAGATGTAATGAACCATTAAATCTAATGACAATATTAGAGATCCCCCACTGTGGTAATGGAGCATCCAGGTGGGAAAATCACAGGAGCCTCCTGAGCTTATCACAGATTGTCAGTAGTCACCCAAGGAAGTGTTTCTGTGTATTCTAATGATTTCTTCTAATAGCCGTAATACACATTCATCCTTGTGCTTCTATATTGTGAGTCCTCCAGTTTGTCTTCTTTGGTAACAGTGGTATCATGCTGTTGAGTGAAGTTGATTATTTAGGCTCTTATAACCTGAGGGGTCAAAGCAGTTCCTTGTAGTGGTGGGTCAAAAATGCAACAAAATTTTAAATCTATAGATGAAATCCAGCCTCTGATTGCAATTTAATTTAGTTTCTATGCTATTCTTTCATCTCAGCACGCCAAGATAATCATTACTGTGACTATTCTATACAAATATAACCCAAATAAATGTAAAAAATCATGGTTGCAATCTGAAAACCTGAAAATACACCCTTTCTCCAATATCTTCAGTGATATTAACAAAATTTCTAGGCCTTCTTAAAACAGAGTTCAAGTTGGCTTTTAGTAGATTTGATAGTCCCTTTTTTATGTGATGCTGCCAAGTGGTCAGTATTATTTGGTCAGTATTATTTAGATGTATGTTAGATGTAAGTGTATTACGTTTTATTTTTTTATTCCACTTATCGTGTTTTGAAGTTTTTGCATGTTTCATGTTGTTTTTATCTTGTCAAAGTACAAAGATGGTGATATAATTTTGCAGTGTGTGTGTCTGTTTGTGTATTATGCACTTATAAAATATGAATGTGATCTTATTACAGTATTATAGAAGGTTGTTACTGAAGCTTGTGAATTTTTTTTTTTTATTCTTTACACTAAATAACGGTGCTCTATAATATATTGACAGGGTGTCATTTATGCCTTATGTGTATACTATTGTACATTTTGTACTATATCTGTGAAGCTTATTCAGTACGCTAAATGTTGCATAGCAATGCAAACCTATTAAGATGCTTCTTTGCCATGTGCATGTTTGTGTGGAGTTGCATGGCAACTTTCTACTGTATCTGCAGTCTGATGTCTGCAACTGTCTGAAGCAAAGAGCATTCTATGTCCTCGCCATAAAGCAGGCAGATGGATATTGTATTAGATACTCAGACAGAGGAAGCAGAGATGCACAGACATCCAGGCAACAGATATTTTTGTGTCCTGGGTAACAAAAAAAAAGCATTAAAGTTGACATTATTTTATACCCAACCCATTCTAAGATGGGAAATACTGATCTATCATCATTAGGCATTATGGCTGTTAGTGGTTGGCACAAAATGAATTGCACTTGTTGCCATCTGCTTTCTTTCCAAAGTGCACAGATAATTATTCATTTTCATAAAAGGACATCACATAAAACACTTGTAGCAGAAACGTTGCAAGCTGCTTTTGTTTTTAACTGTTTAAAAGATGAAGTTAAGAGGGTTACATGTACCCTAGTATGCATTTGAGCGTTTTCATTGTGAGTGATATCTATCTACTTTAATTAATGTTGCAAATAAAGAAAATTAAATGCAATGGATGGATTGGTTTGCGTGGTGGCTGGCTATCATGTGGTGGTACAGGGAAGGGCAATGTGTGTCAGACAGGATGGGCAAGGGGTGGATGGACTCTAGCCACCCCCCACTCTGTGATCAAGGCTCCCAGTTGCAAACTTCCAGAGTGGGACGAGGGGCCATGAATGGAGGGCTTTGTTCAATCCGTGGTCATCACATTCCACTGGAGCCACTGTGTGGCATTCAGCAGAGCGGAGGAGAGGGCAGGCCAGGGCAGGACAGGACAGACGAGGGGAGGCCTGGAGAGGAAACACTAAGCAGCCTCTCTGTCTGTCACATCAAAACATTAAGATCTGTGCCATTTATGTAGAGGAAGTATTTTTAGCTTAGTGCTAATGCTGTAGATGCTAAAGTCTTTGCACTGTTTATGTGTACTTTTTAAAACACAAGATTTTCTTATGTGAAGCTCCTTGACTTTTCATTACCTGCAGGACAGCAATGCACCTTTACTGGTGATATGTTTTTTAAGCAGTTCAGCACTCTGTGAATTGGTCACCACTGTTCTATAAGGTTACAGTTAGACTGGTGGTTGTAATTCTAGTTGTTTTTTTGGTTAAATGGTTAAGAAGAGGAATGAAGTCTAATGTTTCCATGCTGACTCAGGAGTTGAATTATTCAGACTGGGCGTGTGTGTTTTAATCTCACACTCAGCCCTCTACCCCAAATTAGGGAAACTGCAGCTTGGCAAGACAGGAAGAAAAAATGAATGATAGAAACTTGAGATGGTTACACAGTGACTCATTATCATGCACGTAATGGTCATAGCAATATGTAGACCTTAATCATGAACAAAGAACCCTGCATTCCACGGGTTGGTGCCATTTAGGGGCGTAGGTGTGAAATGAGGCATGTGGCTAACTGATGTGTAAACTGTATTCAATACCAAAAGCTAGGAAAGGAAAAAGGGAATTTAGGAAGTATAATTCCAGTTGCATTTAGATTATTTTCCTCTGCCGTGTCACACTGCCTTCCTTTTTCCATTCATCCCTCATAATAAATGTTCCATTTATCGCAGTTCTCGAGCTATCCTTTTTTATAATCACTCAAAGTCTGTCGTCTCACACAAAGAGGTGTCTGTCATTGCATATGGGAGACTTGTGCACTGTGCCTTGGCAGCATGAGAACAAGAGTTGGAAGAGTGACTGGGTCCAGAGTCCAGATGGACTCTGTGACTGTATCATTTCTGTTGTACAATCTGCCGCCTTACAGACACCGTTGTCTCCAACAGGAGATACCTGTACAAGTGGAACTGAAGGCAGACTGACCCCATATTCTTCTTGGCCATACATGTCCTCCTTAAGCTTTTGCTCTTTTCTTCTATAAAGTTCAGAATTTACAAACACAAGCACAGTATGAGAGCTGAAACAGGTGAAACAGTTTATAGCTTTACTGAAACAAACTTTGGAATTCCTTCTCATCCACATGGTTTTTAAAACACTCCCCTAAGCTTATTCATTCCTTTAAACATCCTCTCTAAACTGCAGCCTTTTCATTACCTAATAAAAAGATGCTCCAGTGACTCAGTTTTAATCTTGCAAGTATGTGTACCGTAAACAGTAGAGATATGAGGTATGTAAAACACACACATCCAGCACGTACAAAGCCCCGACTCCCCCTTGTCTTACATTGTCTTTGAGTGCTGCCAAAGGTCAAAGTGCATCCAGCAAGATATCAGATTGATTTCAAAGGCATGTTTTCATGTGAGGTGCACACAGTACTGTAACGCATCTTTGGTAGCATTTAGATTGTCTAATCAGAATTAGAGCAGAAGCATGGTTCATATTGTAATCAGCTGTTCAGTTGTTTCTAAACTGTGTACTTCATAGAAATTTACCTGACAAGTGGTCTTTTTAGTCAGTTCTACTCACTTGAGCACACTATAGTGCCAGTATCAATTCAAGCACCATGCAACCATGCCAGCATCACACGCTTGACCATAGATTACTGGGATGTTTTTGCACACACCCTGTCTGAATTCTTTTCTAAAAGCTTACACTGGCCAAACAAAAGGCCAAGGAAGATTCAGATTTACCAGTACAAGGCGGAGAAAGGCATTTAAAACCATGGCTTTTTTGTTCAGAGGCATTTTCCAACCTCTGCGCCCTCCCCCTCTGTCTAAAATGCCGAAGGCATGTGGTTGACAGCTCCTCACAAGCTTTCAAATTGTTCTCTCTTTCCCAAATTTGGACTGAAGTAGAATGCCGCTATTGTTAATATGTTCAGCAAACTTGAGAGAATTTCATTTATCTTTTCTGGCAGCGTAACGGTCTCATAAATAGAGGCAGTGGGAACTTTTCATTTTGCTAGACAAGATTTTGCCTTTCCCACCTTGTTCGGGGCCCTGGGATGCGCTGTAGGTTGTGTCAGAGACAAACTGTGGGTCACTGGTATGACAGTCATTCAGTAGAGGTGTCAAGATATTATAAGTGGCGTAGGCATGTGAAAATTATGGCCATATGGTTCTCAATTCTGGCAGCGCACACAGAGCTGAACTGTAAAAATGTCTCAGTGGAATTCCAAGTGGACACTTCTTCAGCCTCTGTCAAATCCCTGAGTATCATATTTAGCCCCTACCATTAGAGTCCATTCTTACTTTGATTATGATGTTCTTTTAGTATGTGTACATCACATGATGCCATGTCAGGTGTATGTGCCACGTGAGGAGTACCCAGAGCTGTGAGTTAGCCCTCTGCTGGCTCTCGTGGATCTGTGGCAATTATATGCCCTCATCTTGTGTGTACAGAGGATAGCATGCAGCAGCTGGGAATGCACAATTACCTCAGTAGAAGGAGACAAAGTCAGCATAAGTAAGGACTGTAACTGCTAAGATTTCTTAGTAGGCCTTTTGTATTTAACTCTTCTTTTTGTGGATTGTTCTGTCGACTATACTTACTGTTTTTTGTTTTAACCTTTCGAACTTTAGATCACCAATTTTATTCAATAGTGCACCAAAACAATTACACCAAGTCAGACCTGAACAGTTAAGAATTTGATATATTTAAACATATTTACCAGATGTAGCAATCAAATGTATCTCTTTCAGTTCCATACACCTCTAATTCTCTATACGAGTGCTATCATCTCTCCCGCTCTGGTTCTGTGTGTAAAACAAGCTGCTGCGGTGAACTTGCACTTATCTAACGCAGTTTTTTTCACTCACTGTTTAAGGTGACCACCCAAAACCTCTTACCACACTGCGTACTGCTCCCAGCCAGCATGAGAAGCATGAGGCACTAAAACACTGAAGGTGTTTTAGTGCCTCCTTCCCTCTCTCTCTCTCCTCTCATTTACCCAGAATGGGCATCACGTGCCTATGTTGTTGATCCTGGCCACTGAGGACAGCAGGGCACAGCTGCACTAGGGATGGGATTTCACTGATCCTGCAGTGGAAAACCTCATCATACTGTCCCCTGGACAGCTGCATATGAAAGAGCATAAGCTTCATCACTGTGATGTTTGCAATTGTTTCACTGTGTAGGAGAGTATGGTGGGGTAATATAAGGTGATGTCCCTTACTTTGTGAGAAGTCGGACCTCTGCCAGCTCCATCCGATCAACTGTCTGGCTGACCAGGTGTATAATCACTGAAGCATCATCAAAAACTAGTCCTGCATGTTTTCAGAAGCATGCAAAGTATTCAGGGTCAAACAAATGATATGCAAAGTTTTAATGTTTTGTGCACTCAGCTCTTTTTCATTTATCTCCTAAAAGATCGGAGAGAAAGAAGCCGATATAAAGGTATTACACAGATATGCATTATATAGATTATATAACCTATATAATGCATATCTACAATTATGAATTTTGGTTTTCATGCATAATGATAAAGTAAACAGATTTTTTTTCAATGGTACATATAGTGTGCACAGAGAATTTTCTGTAAATGTAATATTGGTTATCTTCAGGATTTCTAAGCCAGTGGGAACTGGACTATTTTCATTTACCACATGTATATATTTAGACATGCACGCATTCAGATGTGTTTCCGTCATACTGTTTCCCTCAGCTTACAACTGCTCACAACCAGACAGTACAGCTGTGAAATCTTAGAGCTCAGCAATCCTAGTGAGAACTGGATCTGTGCACAGAAACATAATCATAATAACAGCACCAGCAAAGGAAATAAATTGCATTGTCTCCTCTTGTCCTTAGAAGGTCTGCAGACAGGGAACTGTTGCATAAGTGAATGCCTGCATGACAGAAGTGCTACTTTACTGTTTATTAGGTGTAGGGTTTTTTGCAGCTCAATGCCTGCTGTCTGCAAAGACAAACAAAGACCTGTTACGTGTGACAAACTCTGTGAAATTTTCACTACCTGCCTGCAGTGATGAAAGAAATAGATGAGCGCAATCAATAATCCCCCACCGTCCAAAATGATATCATACCGCCCTCCCACTCTGGTTATTAACAAGTTATATCAGTGAGAATTAATGACATTTCAGCATGAAGCAACTGTGATGTAAGGTATATTTACAAACATTTCTTCTTCATCCGCAGACCAGAATCCATCCTGTGGGAGTGGCTGCTGTGAGCTTTACAGACAGGAAGAACCTTTAAGAGCTTTTTAGAAAATTGCTCTCCGGAGAAACTGCAGAACGAGGGAGGCTAAATGGAGGGCATCTGTCTGTCTTGAAGAGGGTTGATGAGCTTGTGAATTTAGCAGAAGGGCATATAAAAAAAATTTGAAAGCCAGTATGAAAATGATTCAGCATAAGAGGCTGAAAGAACACTATAAGGCAAGTAGAGAAAGGAGAAACAGAGGAAATGTCCAAGAGTGAGGAGGAGACATGGTAAAACAAGGACATTTTCCTTAACTGAGAGAATGCACGCAGTAAACTGTGGAGGGAGAAATAAGAGGATTCA